ATAGGGCCCAATCTTCAGTCATATAAAGTGAAACTAACAGGATTGAGTTCTGATAAGTGAGAGGATTTAAGTAATAGGGGTGTTGAAGTCTTTTAAGTGATGGCTTTTAAGTAGGCCAGATGGTATTTACTTAAGTGAGTGTTTGTGGAGACGTCAACCTTTACCAGGAGTGTGACTTGAGTCTGGATCTACATCATTTATAAGTGTAAGTAAATGCTTCAGTCTTCAAGTAATAATCACTCAAGTAAGCTCTAATCTTAAGTAAATTCATCCAGTAGGCTCCAGTCATAGTAAACCACTAAAGTAGGATACACTCCTTAAGTAATATCTAAAGTAGCTCCAATCTTAAGTAAACAAGGAACCAATCTCAAGTACAGACGGAATAGATTCTAATCTTTTAAGTAATTGCGCTACGATTTTTGAGTGGTTCTTGTAGTAGATTCCAATCTTAAGTAGGTCCAGCACTTGGGTAACGCTCTTACAATAGTGGACACACCTGTTAATGGCGGCGGTCCTTGTGGAAGTGACTTGTACTATCAGTGTGACCGTAAGTACCACCTCCTAGTGTTAACCCCTTGAGTACGATAACTGAGTACGATAACTTAACCCCTAGAGTACGATGCCAACGTAAGGAAATATGTGTGTATATTCAGAGGATTAAGACATCTTAATCAAGAGGTTCAGCCACTGTACTCAAGGGATTAGTCGGCATACAGAAGGGGTTACACGCACACACACAGCAGTACGAGGTGGTGACAGCCAGTGGAGTGGAGTTCTAACTCGAGGAAGTAAGTAGCTTGAGAGAAGAAGCCCCGGTGGTGCTTCTGACGAGGCACCCCTACCAACTCCCGCTTGACCTCCCGCTACCTCAAGTGACCTCCGCCACCACCTCTTACGACATTTCTCCACTAACTCAAGTGACCTCCCTACCACCACCACATTCAGCGACCACCACCCACCTCGAGCACCCCAACCACCTCTTATACCTGCTCCACCTTCTGTACCTTCGTCAGGGTAATTGTTCTGTCTTCCCTCGTTAATTGTGTTGATGCTGTCACCGTATAGACGTTCTTATAACTGAAACGTGTTTTATACAAGTATTACTAAAGTATTTCGTAGAATATGGTGTGCACGCGCGTGTGTGTGTGTGTCTGTGACAAGCAACACCACCCAGCACCTTTCTTTGTAACCGTCACTCAGCAGTAAGGAAAGATATTTACAAACTTCAGCCTTGGCGGGGCTTCTGAGAGAGAGAGAGACAGACAGACAGAAAATTGTGAGCCCGTGGAATAACCAAACAGAAAATGTTGTGACAGCACCAAGGACACATCAGCATCAAACCATACAACCAAAACAACCCCATACAGTATAACCAACCTGATCTAACCTGAAGATAATTAAAAATCATTTGATCATTATTATATTATTATATTTTGTTTCCTTGTATCATCCCAAGGCTAAGCAGAGACTTAGAGAACACAGTAGTGGAGTGACCAAAATAGATGAGTTACTGTGTCCGTTTTCTTTTATTAAAAATTAGTTTCGTTTTCTTTGATGTTAAATTCATGACAAACAAGGGTACATTTAATCTACTGGAATGCTTAAAGTAGCGAGATGAAAACTGATCACATCTCCAGGTATAAATAATATTGATTTCTGAAGGAGTTTTATTATTGAAAGTGTAGTGAAACAATTGTCGTTGTTATATAATATATGATTTAACTAAAATTTGGTGATTGAAAGCACACATATCCTCCCTCACATACATATACGAACATGAACACACACACACACACACACATACAGGATAACAACAACCTTCTCACTTCTCACCGAAACGAGAATCGAACCCAAGTTAAAATACTGACAGACAAACACGCTCCTTCTGTACTTTTCATACATGCAGGTGGGAACTGATATAACAGACCGTAAACTGTACATACAATTATGGAAAATGAAAGTCGTCTGTCTTCCGCACCAATCATAAACCCTGAGACTTGTGAACCTGTGCATTCGAGACATCACATGACCCAGTGCACCATTTATGGGCCTAAGAATGTGTGATGTCTCGGATTCAGAGGTTCATGGGTGTTGACAGAGAACTGGCTGGACTTATTTTCCGTGGCTGTACATGTGTGAGAAATATATTAGGCATCTCTCCTTTACAGACATGCCCTCTATATGGCCAAAAGTCACATGAACAACTAAAACATTTTATTCTTGCCTTGTGGCCATCTCCCTCAGGGCCTCCACTAATAACACCTCGCCTCCGTGTCCCCCACAGAGCACAGTAACGTCACCACCACCACCACAAGGAGGAGGATGCCGCCCAAGGACCCCGAGGCCGAGAAACTCAAGAAGGAGCTTCAGGATGCCATTGCCAAGGTCCAGGTAGGATGCAGAAGGATATTTTCTTGTCCCCATCATAAGAAAAGTAATAATACATAGAGACAAATCTATTCACCCCAACCTCTATTGATCTATTTATTTCTTAAAGAAAGTTAGTAAATAGTCGATAGAAAACAGAGAGAGAGAGGGAGAGAGAGAGAGAGAGAGAGAGAGAGAGAGAGAGTTACCACACAGCAAGCAACAGCAGGAGACGACCCAGTAACACATACATCATGCAACACACTTAGTCACTAGTCCTCTTAACCTGGTAACCATCGCACGACAGGCAGCTGGTGTTTGTGGCCAGACAAACATCTGTCACCCATAACAGCTGTTGTTGTGGTGGTAGGTGGTGGTAGTGGTGGTAGTAGAGATAGGTAATGGTTGTGGTATGAAATATATAGTTTAGGACAGGGCATTATGTTGGCTGATCGCTACTTAACTTGGCATTTAAGTCTTCCTGTTCTGATTATATTATGTGTTCACTGTTTACTAGTCTGTTGAGCCCACCACGTCCTAATGGGCCCCAACTTAACCTAAATAATGAACACTGGGGCCCAGTCTTACCCAGCCCCTATAGTTAGGTTAGGTTAGGTTGTGTGTGGTTGGGATAGCATAGGATGGGTGAGGTTGCGTTAGATGCAGTTAAGCTTAGGTATAGGTTAGGTTAGGTTAGGTTAGGGCCTAATAGGACTGGGGCCCATTTGACATACAACCCTCAGACGTAAGAACCACCCCCTAGTGACCCATTTGACGAGGAGTTTTAGTAGTTTGGTGAGTAATGATTATGGTAATTATTCCTTGGCCTTGTTGTTGTTGGGCGGTTGATGACCAAGATGGTGGAGAGAGAGAGAGAGAGAGAGAGAGAGAGAGAGAGAGAGAGAACAATACAACAATGAGCTTCCGTTCTACATACATTACCTTACCTCCTACAAGTGACTCAGCTCGACTCTACACACACACACACACAGTATAATATAAATAACACTATTACATTATATCTTTCCCACTGCTACGCTTGAGTGTGACGCCCGTTACTTACTATTACTGGCCCTCCCTGGTGGTCACGGTGTCACGTCATCTCCGTAATGCCCGTTACATTAAGGTGTGTGTGTGTGTGTGTTTGTCTGTGTGAGTGCTGTCCATGAAGTGATGTAACATGACCTGGCCTGGCGGTGATGTGTGTATGGGGGAGATCTATCTATCAATCTATCTAATCTAATCTAAACACTTACTGGTGGCGGTCTTGTTCATGCGGAGTCTGTCCTGGGGTGAGAGGGGTCGACAGTAATCCAGGCCGTCCTCCCCGCGCGGTAACCCCTCCACACACCTCACGCCCACGCCCGTGTCCAGCCCCAGAGCTATGTCCAAGTCCAGCAGGTCCTCCTTCACCTCGTAGCTCACGTCCATCGTCGCGTCTGCTGTGGTCGTCGAGGCCAGAAAGGCGAGGCACGTCATTGCTAACGCCCGGTGCAGCATCTTGTGTCGTCACGGGAGGGACTGTTGACGTGTTTCTCTACCTTCTGTTGTTTTGTTTATTGTATCAACACTGCCGCAGCCTCCTTCAAGGAACTCCTCAAAGCCTGTAGGTGGGATCGTCTTCCTCGGACGTGTACTCGAGGTCAGGACATTAACATCCTGATGGAAGACACAGTAAGGTCTTCGTCGAGACTTCGGGGTCTCACACTTGACCCCCGATTTGGGAAATGCAAATCAGACTCAAACAAGAAGCTCTGAGGAATCGTGCAGGAGGGAGTAGCTGCGGCGAGGGCGGGAGAGAGAATCACACTGAGCTGAGACCGTCTCGCTGGTTCGCTCGTAACCACTGGGTCGCAGCACACGCCAGGGGGAGGTGTGGGAGGGAGGGGAAGGAAGGAAAGTAATGAGCAAAGGGAGGGAAAGAGGAATTGGGAGAGAGGAAGAAGTGATGGGAGAGAGAGGAAAAGAAGAAGGGAATGAGGAATGGGAGGGAGGTTCGGGGCTAAGGATTGAAAGGATGGCAAAGATAGGCGGAAGGAAATTATTTAGAGAGAGGAAGTGATGGCAACTTTCACGACACTTCACCCTACGCGGAGAAGCTACTAACGAGGATGACTGTCATTTGTTTCGCTCAGGACTGTTCTTAAGTTTTGATAAGGACCATTTTTAACACGTCCTTGAACTAGAGGACTCAGTCAGCCTATTTGGTGTGAATTTAAACACCTAATTTCACCTCAACACAACAGATATTACGGCGAACTTCATAATATACCTTAAAACAAAACAAAAATATTTCGCACATTAACCTAAAACCTTAATATTTACCTTAAAACAACAACAAAGATATAAATCATCTCTCAATTTACCCCTAAAACTTAAAAATCACCTCATAATGAAAAATACAATAAAAATTTCTCTCGTATATACCTAAAACTTAAAATTACTCTTAAAAATAAACAATCATTAACCCTAAACCTATAAACAACCGCAAAACAACAAAAACAACACCTCTTGCATTACCCCGAGAACCTAAAATTTACCTCAGGTCAACAAAACACGGCGAGACGAATCTGAATCCTCACTCGAATCCGGAGCCGCTGCTAACACAACACCACAGGCAGGAGTCAGGAGGC